AGAACAGCAAGGACCCTTCATTTCAACCCTGAACTACAAATGTTCACCTTTTATTAGCTTTTCAGAACTCAAACACAGGGACTTCTTTCTGAATCCCGTTTCAGGTTTTTCTGCATGGAAAGCTAATGTTGTCTCATTTAACAAATTCAATTTATGGGGGTTTGAATTTGGGGAGCTGATAGGGGTCTCTTTGATTTTCACTTCTGGGCCACAAGTCATGTGCATCATTGACTCCCTTCGGGGCTGAAAGGCAAGATACACTTCAAATACTTTCTCAACAAGGCATAATTTTAATTTTCCATTCCATATCTGACCTAACAGGGAAAAATTCCAAGGGAAAAATATTCAAAATGAGAAGTTAAAATGGGGGATAGAGAAATAAGACAATTACAGGTACTAAAGGAAGGTAAGCTATCACATTTTATGAACCCACACTATTTATAAAAAAACAAAGGGCGTGTTTCTCAGTGGTATCTTCTAGGAAGCCAAGTGTTGAGGTAATTCCCCGTTAGGAGAATGAGTGCACACAGGGAGACATAGTGAGAGTGGTGAGGAATAACACACAACCAGCACACAGATACACTGTATAGTAAAATGTAGGTTTTTATTTCCAGTAAACGGATAAGCAAAGTCCAACAAGCAGTCCAAGTCATACATGGTTAAAGCAGTCAGTCCAGGGATAATCCAAATATCAAAGTCCAGTATCATAAACAGTTCAGTAACAGACTTACAGCAATCCAAGAAGAACAACGATCAGCAACAGTCAATAGGAAAAAATTCAGGAACCAAAACCAGGGAACCTCAGAACATCGACCAACTAGCAACTATCAGCAACAGGACTAACAACCCAGGTTTCTGGCTCCATCTTATGGCCGTCTGAGGAACCACACCCAATTCCAATGTTAGCATTCCCTTAAAGAGACAGTATTAAATGTCTATCCTGGTTTATATATTTTCAACCCAACTGTTAAGGGACTATCAATTCCTAACACCAACCACTCCCATTGCCACATTGAATGGGCCAACATTTGTAGCTCCACCTTTTCTGATAGTAGAGGGGGTCAACCTATTCTCCAAGCACCTGGGAGCAGGACAAGAAGTAATGGATGGAAGCTTAAGGAGGAGCGATCCACCCTAGAACTAAGGAGAAATTTCCTGACAGCCAGAACAATTAGTGGAACCTCCAGAAATTGTGGGTGCTCTATCACTGGATGTTTTCAAGAAGAGACTGGACAGCCATTTGTATGGAATGCTGTAGAGTTTCTTACCTGAGTAGAGGGTTGGACTAGAAGACCTCCTAGATCCCTTCCAACTCTGTTATTCTAGGTCTACATAAAGCTGGATTTGTAGAATTCTGGGTGCGGAAGGGGCAAGTCACTGCAAAAATGATTTATTTACATTCCCCAAACAGCTTTCTTTCCTGTCCCCATGTTAGCAACATAATAAATATTAGGAACAAAAAAGGAGGTCATGTATTAGTGCCTTCAAATAATCAAAGTTTCTGCTACGGTTCTACAGCATTAAAAGCTAAGCAAAGGAAGGTTGTGAAAACCAAGATAGAAGACTTCAGTGAAAAGATGACCATAGAACCCCATCCAACCAGGTGAATTAGCTGCATGTCCTGAAGAAGTATGGTAGGACTTATGGGGGTTTTGTGAGGGGGGGGAAGGGGGAAGAGTTGGCAGTCAAGGCGATTGAGCAAAAAGGATCAGGGGGCAAACCAGACACCTGGACCAGAGAGCAGATGAGCAGAAATGTCCCCCATCCCCTGAAATGTGCTGATAACTTAGACTGGGGGCTAGAAAGTGAGCCTAGAAAATGCCAGAGTTGGCAGAATTTATGGGATTTGCAGCATTTTGGAATTTATTTATTTTACTTTTAGCAATTATTCTTTGTGAACTGCCTAGGATTATTTTGTGTAAGATAGGAGACCATATATAGCAGGGGTGGGATTCTACCAGTTCGCACCTATTCGCTAGAACCGGTTGTTAACATTCTAAGCAGTTCGGAGAACCGGTTGTTAGAAGAAATTCCTGGTCTAATCCTGTAAGGAAGGCAGGAAGGAAATATTCTGCTGTTGCTTACAGAAACTGCCTCTCCGTTAACCCTTATTACATTCTTGGCAGGACTAGACTTCCTGTCTCAGGAACTTCTCTGGAGTTTTTTCCTCCTCCTTTGCTGGTACTTTCCTTGTGTGGAGTGGCCGTTCAAAGTTACAATGGCACTGAAAAAAGTGACTTATCGCCATTTTTCACACTTATGACTGTTGCAGCATCCCCACAGTCATGAGAGGCCAGGCAAGGAGATCCGTGCCTCGATGTGAGTGATATTGAGTTGGCCACACCCAACCAATAACATGACCACCAAGCCATGCCCACCCAGTCATATGACCACCAAGCCACACCCACCACCTAAGCCAGGCCCACAGAACCGGTTGTTAAAATTTTGGAATCCCACTCCGATATACAGGTAGTCCTTGACTTATGACCACAATTGAGATTAACATTTCTATTGTTAAGTGACACTGGTTAAGTGAGTTTTGCTCCATTTTACGACTTTTCTTGCCACAGTTGTTAAGTGAATCATTGCAGTTGATAAGTTGATCAATTTCCACTGAGCTCCCTTTTGCTGTCCCCACTTTGGGATGTAATCCTCAACCTTACAAAACATCAGCCTCCAAACTCCAGGCTATAAAGGGAGGAGGGGGTTAAAATCAAACTAACATCAGATCCCCTGGAACCAGCATTTTGTCCATCTCCAACCTCTAAACCAACTCAGGCAGTGAAGTTACTATCTAATGAGATAGATATAGCTCTAACAATATCCTGACTCTGTTTGGTCCAGCCCATGGCACAGGCTCTTACATCTTTACATCTCTACCCCACCGTCCCACTCTCTCTCTCTCTCTCTCTCTCTCTCTCTCTCACACACACACACACACACACAAAACCAGGCAGCAGAGCTTCAGTTATACCATACCAACGGGTTATACCAAGATAACCTTTTTTAACCATTCTCTGTGAACCCCTGATCCCATTACTTTTCAGATTCAAGGAATCCTAAAAGAATCTAGATTACTATGCTCAGGTAAAATCCAGCGATTATTTCCACATCATTTTCAAATTCCATGCACCAACTCAAAAACAACAACAGTCATTAAGAATGGATTCCTGTGGTTTAGCTCTAGAGATAGCTTTCATACTGGAGACCTTTATAGTTGGAAGTGATATTTATTTGGTGACTGCAATAGAAATCTGATAGGCTTTGGTTCTAAAAGGCCATATTCCTCACTTTTTCTCCAACTTTAATGTGCCAGTCAACATTGGTGAATTTTATGTGTCGCCAGACACTAATCTCTCCAATTAATTGGAGCCTGCAACTAATCTCTCCTTACAAACCCATCTTTTAAGTTCTTGGCAATCATCGTTGATCCAGTTCAAATCACTTCCTGTGGGTTTTATGGCAGCACAGTCTTCATCTACTTCTCTATCACTAATGGATCCATTGGGGTTGACATTCGCCCAGTATCTAAGAAGAGAGAGCAGGTGGGGGTGTTGGTGTCATACCTGCAATCATACACTCGAATTTCATATTTGCTAGCTCCCAGCCTGCCATGAACTATGGGGGGGGGGGGGGGGGGGATCAGGGGGGGAGGGAGGAAAGCTAACAACTCATCAAAGCTTCCAGAGACACCATCTCAAGGTCAAAGGGCTGGGAATGGAAAGGCAGTTCCCAAAACAATTTATTCAAATGTAACTGGACAATAAGAGACCAGCAAGGGGGAGGAACTGGGTAGGAAAAGTTAACTGGGAAAGTTTGGCACACAAACTTCAGCTCTGGTTTTGCTATACTGTAATCCACTTGGCCTTTAGTAAGGTAAATCTTTCACACCGAATGGAGTCAAGGATCATTCTTACTTAAGCAATCAAGTTGGGGCAGGACTGGCAGTTGGATTTCTACGTGCAGCAAAAGGAGTACAATGTTGTTTAAAGGAATGACAACTTAGAGTGGAGGTGGAGTTAAGAAGGAATATAGGATGTTTGGGGGGACTTGCCACTCTTCTCCCCACTGCTGCCCCCTGTCGTTCACTTTCCCAGGCAAGATCAAGCCCAAATGTGCTGCCTTGGCCAGAATTTGGAGGGCTCGCTTGCAAAAGAGAAGAGGACCAATTGCATGGGACAACCCTAAGGCAAAGGACAAAATCTTTGCCCCATTCTGAAGCATAGCCGGCATTGGACCAAGAATTGGTACAAATGAACTGGGCTCATACAACATTAGGCAAGGTTGGATCGTTCATAGTTCAGCCTGCTGGAATTTCAGCCCATTTTCTCAGCAGATTATGTAAAAGCAGGCCATTGTATGAAGCCGTAATATTCTTGATTTTGTCTGGCTACAGTGCATCGCATGACAACAGGAAGCATGCATAAAGTCTATGTTTAGCATAAACTCTGTTAGCATTACGCATACTCTGTGGCACCCATGCCAACCTGAGCTGCCTGGAGCCTAAATTAATTAAGCTATAGGTTTGAAATAAGGCTTGGAGAGGTAGACTTCACATGATCGTATCCTGGAGACTCACTGTATTATTAATCTGGAACCATCCGACCAGGCCCAGTGGCCTTCCACATTTTCATCCGTGAGGCCAATCCAGGCAGACTCGTTGAGCTTTGAAGAGATGAACTTCTACAAAGACACAACAATGAAAAGAAAAGGTGGGCAGCTTCACAAAATGAGATTCATGTTGGGTTTGTGTAGCCCCAGTGCCTAAAATGAACAATGAACAGTTCACTGTTGTTTGCCAAAGAACTCCGTTTACCTGAAGAAACATCCGCTCCATATTATGGTGAGACAAGTCACATCACAATTTTGAAGATGGGACATACGAGTTCCCACCTTTATGCCCCAACCCTGTTCAATGGAAGCATGCCAAGAACATGGTTAGCAGGGGCGTGGGAGTCAAAGAGTTTATTCTGAATGGAAGCCATTTTGGCCTGTCGCCCCTGATCTTCTAATTCAGGCCCCGTTGCATAGAGTGTTCTGGTCAATTAAGATACAAAATAAGAGTTGGAAGGGGACCTTGGAGGTCTTCTAGTCAAATCCTCTGCTCAAGCAGGGGACCCTATCCCATTCCAGTCAAATAGCTGTCCAATCTCTTCTTTAAAACCTCCAGTGATGATGTAATCCCAGTTGCAAAAAGTTACAAACTCTTGTGCATGGAAATTTAAAATAATAGCAGACAGAGAAGGATAGGAAGATACCAGCATTTAGCCAAGATGGAGTGCTCTGTTGAAAGCCCCCAAATATGAGAAGGAAGATGATGATGATGACAATAATAATAATAATAATAATAATAATAATAATAATAATAATAATGTGAAAGACAGTGTTGAACCAGCTTTGATGGAGGTCAACAAAAGGAAGCTGCTCAAAGTGCAGCAAACCAAAAAACAATATAAGAAAACAGTGATGCAAACTCGGGCTGACAGCTGGTGTAACAAAGCACTGCATGGACAGTTCCTTGAAAAGATCCAAGGAAAAGTAGATATGGAAAAGACCTGGTTATGGCTGACCAACAGAACACTGAAGAAAGAGACAGAAGGCCGGATTCTTGCAGCCCAAGAACAAGCCATCAGAACGAATGCAATCAAAGCCAGAATAGAAAAATCTACTGATGACCCCAAATGCAGACTCTGCAAAGAAGCGGATGAAACCATTGATCACATACTGAGCTGTTGCAAGACAATAGCTCAGACTGACTACAAACAACGTCACAACACAGTCACTCAGATGGTCCACTGGAATTTGTGTCACAACTACCATTTGCCTGTAGCAAAGAACTGGTGGGATCATAACCCTGAGAAAGTGATCAAAACCGAGCATGCAAAACTACTATGGGACTTCTGAATACAGACTGACAAAGTTTTGGAACACAATACCCCAGATATCATGATTGTGGAGAAGAAAAAAGTGTGGATCATCGACATTGCCATACCTGATGACAGCAGAATCAACGAGAAACAAATTGAAAAAGTCGCCAGATATCAGGACTTGAGAATCGAACTGCAGAGACTCTGGCACAAACCAGTGCAAGTGGTTCCAGTGGTACTGGGCACACTGGGTGCTGTGCCTAAAGACCTAGGCAAGCATTTAAAAACAATTGGCACTGACAAGATCACCATTGGTCAGCTTCAGAAGGCCACCTTACTGGGATCTGCTCGCATAATCCGCTGATACATCACACAGTCCTAAACACTAGGGAAGTGTTCAACTAGTGATGTGTGATACGAAACCCAGCATGATTATCTCGTCTGCTGTGTATACTGTCATTTTTGTGTATAATAACAACAATAATAACAACAATAATAATACCAAACCTGTTCTTCCTCACTCAGGATGGAGGTCAAGTGGGAATCTCTGGACTTGCAAAAGTATTTGGCATCATGCCAGGTTTTCCTTTCATTTGCTTTTGAAATATAATAGAGATTCCAGCCAAAAAGCTTCCAGTTATCACTAATTTTTGGTCCTTTTTTAAACAGAGCTTCTAAGAGGAATTAACACAAAAAGAAAAATATATGTTAGCCGATTCGGCAATGAGTGATTTCAGTTTTTACTTCTAACTGCATCTGGGGAGCCCCAAAACACATTAAAAACCATGGTGGCTCAATCCCCAAACACTCTTATTTCTCATTTAACAGAAGCCCAAGACATTTCGTGTGCCCTGGGGTGCATCCTACAATGCAGAGGATTGTGTCTTCAATTATGGCCTGAACACTAGTAACACGGAGCACAGTCTCTCTTGGTCAGTTCCCCAGACTCCTCATTTTGACAGATGATCTGCTAAACAAATGATCAAGGAGCTGGAGGCTCAATGCATTCACATTTTCTTTATCCACACCCCTTCTTGACTGTAGGAAAGAGGGCAATTCACAAGACCCAGGAGGCTCTGTTTGGCTCTGAGCCACACGTTGGAGCCTAATCCAACAACCATTACTCTCAATGGCTGGTGCCTCTCTCCCGATCATTGCCAGCTCCCGAAAAGCAATAGCAGAAGGAGGCAGCTGACCTCTGGCCCATATTTGTAACCTTCCTGAAGATTACTGATTAGACCAGGTGGGTTGTCAGCCAAGAGTTAGCTTTACATCTAGTTTTTGAATCCTGCTTGAAGGTGGTGGTTCTGTAGTACAATCTGCCTGGGCACCAAAAGTTTGTGTTTCAACCAGAAAGGCCTTTATAAAAATAAGTATGTGAGGCCACTGCCAAAGAATAAGGAAACAAAGTTCAGAGCAACCACTAGGTGGCATCAAGAGTGTTCTGTGTCTCTTTTCTGCCCCTAGTGGCTGTTCATTCCTCATCTTGAAGCCTTAAAGTGTAGCCCCTTTAAGGGGTCCCCCAAGGCCCTTTCCACACAATCAGAATTATTTGCCAGACCATGGGGGAATAAAATCATAACAATTTTGAACAATGTCAGTCTTCTCATTATTCTATCTATCTATCTATCTATCTATCTATCTATCTATCTATCTATCCATCCATCCATCCATCCATCCATCCATCTATGGTATTTAAAATACAGGGTGTTATTCCATGAAAAATATTTATGCTACTTTCTAATGAGTTTATTATTTATTTATTACTGATATTTGTTTGTTTCTTTATAAATATAACCAACAAACAAAAGTTCTTTGGGGTCAATTTTTCAACTGGGACAGGTCTTTAAGGGGAAACGTTTTAAGAGATGCTGCCTTAAAGCAGTCTTGAGCACCAGGAGGAAGAAGCAGGGAGGAGGAGAGGAAGAGGAGAAGGAGAAAGAGGAGGAGGAGAGAAGATGGAGAGGAGGAAGAGGACGACATATTCAGCATTAGAACTTTAGTGCTTTAAATTTGGGGAATAAAAGGTGAATTCATAGATGTTGAGGTACATACAGATATGTATGGTCTCCTTCCTTACTACATTTGGGTAGAATGATAAATTGTGACATAGCATTCTCTTTCAAAATAAAATACTTACGATATTTCTTTTTGTCTGCAGCAAAGCCATCTTCAGATAACTTGAGTAGTTGTGGAATTTTCTCTACTAACCTTGAGACCTTCAGAGCTAAAACCAGATGTAGTTATAAGTTGATTTCCTGTTCCACACTCAGAACAGACACTTGCAGGAAAAAACTCTGGAGGATTTAAAGGCATTAGAAATGCCTCTCCTCCCCACATCCCAAGATCTAGGAAGCTGCAGTGACAATTGGGAAGATGGGATTATTTGTGAGCATTTGAGCATTTTGAGATTTCTTTTTTAACTTCCCAGTTTGGCCAAACAGACCTAGAAGAGAATATTTGTAGCTCAAGGTTGAACTGCAGGGTCCTTGGTGGTCTCTGGGCCCTGGCTATAATTTTCTAAAGACATTTAATTTTCCTACTAGGCATTGTCTTTAGTGCTGAAAATGTTAGCTAGTTGGATAATGACATTTCTCAAAAAAAACCCAAAAAAACCCACACCCAACCAAGCTCAGAGAGCACCAAGGACTCCACAGCCCTCAAATCCTCAGATGGCTCCCACTGCTTAAGGTTTCAGAGCTCAATCAGGGTTGCCACTTGTTGAAACTCTGAGAGCCAGCATCATCCCGATTAGTGGGCTTGTTGTCCCCCTGCCCACCACTTGTCCTCAGAGCTGGCCTTTTCTAAGTTCAATATCATATTCTGCTGCCTTTTGAACTGTTACCCTTATCTGGCTTTGCTCTGGTCTTTGGCCATCTTAACTGTTATGTATTTATATACATACATATACATATACATAAATGTTCTGTCCTACTTGTAGCCACAAGTGAGAGTCCAAATGTCCCGAAGAAATAAACACAAACAAATAATACCAGAAACCACAGAGTTAACTTGTCTCTGAAATCGTCGTTGGCAGCTTTCCCAGAAACTGTCTTCAAGCCGAGATAACGCAAGATAAATCAGGAACAGAGGGCTTCTTCAAAGCTGCGCAGGAATTAACGAAGTTGATCCGGACAAGGATCGTTAACTAGCACGCCTCCTTATGTTCCTTGAAGGGGCATGTCAGTCTCTCTAATTAGTCTCTGACTTGACATTTCTTTTCAAATTGTGCTTGACATCTCAACCTGCGTCTAGTCCTTGCATCAACCCAACATTCGTCATCACTCAAGGACTCTGGTATGTTCTGTGGATCAGCTGCTGATACCTGAGGCATGATTGACGTGGAAGGTTCTGGAGAGGATGGTGTTTCCAACACTCCCTCATCCTCCCGGCTCACATCTGCATCTCTCATTAGAGCAGGCTCCAATTCCAATGCCAAACCTTCCTCATCACTCAAACCTGTGTCTTCTGATACATCAGATTCAAAACTCACAGCAGGTTCAAACCTTCCAGTCACAACACATATACATATACATATACATATACATGGATCTTTGGTTATTTGGGTTTTCTCACGCGTAAAGTTGGAGAAAACCCAAATAACCAAAGATCCACATACAAATACCTGCGAAAACCT